GCGGGTGGTGAAGAGGGGGTAAGTTTAAACCGCTTTTAAAGCTTTTTTTTTTTTTTTTTGCATATATCTACTGCTTGCTAGCAGTAGATATATGCAAAAAAACCGGAGGGTTTAGAACCCCTTTAAGTACCATCTTCATAAAATATCGATAACCATCATTAAAAATGATTCCATCAAATCAATGTCAGATGCGACCCTCAAGCCACATCTGTGGGTCAATATACCATCTAAGAGCACATAAATGCCACACATCAATATATGGCTGTCCTTAGACTACATATCTCTTTCAATCTTTGTCTTGTGCTGGGCTCTTGTAGTCCACAGTGGCTGAAATGTGGTTCAAACATGTTTCGTCTCAAGCTTCCTTGGGAACCTAGATTGGGTAGACCAGGCTTGAAATGAGGATCATGCATCAGCCCTCTTTTACCAATCAGGGAGGACCCCCTCACAAAGTGGGAGCGACGGGGGGAACTCACAGGGAGACCAGTGACTGCCGTTAGATCCTAACTAAGATTATACCTAGGCTCTACTTCCCATTTACAGGCTTAAAGTGACACTAAACTCAGGAATTAAATCTTAAAGCAGATCGCCAGGATTTTTTCAAATTGACCCTTGCAGTGGGGCTACCCCCACACTGCAAGGGTTAACTGCTTGTTGGTGTCTAGGTTAAAAAAAAGATATACTCACCCAAAGCTCTAAACTAGCTTCTGAAGGTGCCCATACAGCTTAAGGTGCCCACACACCTTACAATTTATCTGCAGATTTTCTGTGGTCAGATGGAAAAGGTGCAACAGATTCCTCCATCTACATTAAACTGTGTGGATGGAGTCATCTCCACCTGGGCCAATCTGTTGCACTTTTTCCATCTGACCACAGAAAATCTGCAGATAAATTGTAAGGTGCGTGGGCAGATTTTTTCTTCCTACCCTGCCCACCTCTTCACCCCCTGCATCGCTTTTCTAATGCTTCTCGCATATCCATCCCCCCTTCCTACACTGCTTGGCAGGGGTGCAGAGGTGAACACCGTAGGAAGAAAGATGCAGAGGGTACAGTTAGGAGTGTTGGCAGAGATTTTGATGGCTGCCACCCTCTTCCAACACTGGTAACTTCCACACCATCTACATCCCTCATATTGCACTGCTGACCACACCTTACACTGCTAGTCCCTTCTAAGCTGCTCACTCCCTGCAGTTTATCTCATGGTAGGACTCCCGCTCCTGATACCATGGGCTGTGGGTGCTGCAGGGGACGGAGCCAAATGTGCTGAAAGTCACCGGTCTTTCCAGCAGTTAATCAGCACAGCGCAGACGAGCACACGGGACCCTGATAGGTCTGCCCAGCAGATGGTCCTACCCACTCGCCATGGTAACAACCTGACTGGCAGGCTCCTCTCCTATGCAGAGAAGCCCCGGTCCCTGTAGGGAAGGTGCCTGCCAATCAACTGGTTACCGTGGCAAGTAGTCGGGACCATCTTCCCTCACCACAGGCAGTCTGTGCAGGGTTCGGGCCCCCCTGCTGACTTGATGGCAGTGGCATAACCAGAGTTATGGTCGCTCGGGGCAAAACCAAAACAAAATTATGCACCCCCCCAATTAGATTAACCCCCTTCAATCTACCCAAGCGAGCAGCTGCAAAATTTGCTTGCTTAACCAGTTGACATCCGCGGTGTTAAACCCCCTTCCCATCCAGGCCATTTTTCAGTATTCAGCGCTGCGGTACTTTGACTGACATTTATTCCGTCATGCAGCGCTGTACTGAAATGAATTTTATACCCTTTTTTGGGGACAGATAGAGCTTTCTTTTGGTGGTATTTATTCACCACTGGGGGTTTTATTTTTTTACTATATTAAGGAAAAATTACCGAAATTTTAAAAAAAAAAACAGTTTCCCCTATATTAAATGATAAAACATTTATTATTACCCAATTTTTTGGTAAAATATAAAAGATGGGGTCACGTCGGGTAAAAAGACACTAAACATGTCAAGCCTTAAAATTGCGTGCGCGCGCGAAACCTCAAAAAACGATAATACCCAAAATTGGCCATAGGCGACGCTTTAAAAGCTGTTACCGCTCATCAGTTTAGTGTTATCAGTGATTGATGGCCCTAAAATGATTGCTCTCACTGCGACGTTCGCGGCGATATGTAACATGTGTAGCGCAATTGTAATTTTTGCGCGCTGGGGCACCGGACGCGTATTTACGTTTATGGGCGCGTAAACGTGGGGGTGGGGGAGTTAAACATTTTGGGGGGGTTTTTTCCCCTTTTTTTATATGTGACTTTTATTTTATTTAACAGCATGTCAATAGGTTATGTTATAACTCAACTCAGCAAAGGTAACATGTGTAGCGCAATTGTAATTTTTGCGCGCTGGGGCACCGGACGCGTATTTACGTTTATGGGCGCGTAAACGTGGGGGTGGGGGATTTAAACAGTTTTATCACACATTAAACAGGAACTAATTAACCTAACAGTATGTCAATAGGTTATGTTATAACTCAACTCAGCAAATGTAACATGTGTAGCGCAATTGTAATTTTTGCGCGCTGGGGCACCGGACGCGTATTTACGTTTATGGGCGCGTAAACGTACGGCCACAGATCCTGCACAGCCCCCCTAAGACCAGGCATAGCCCCCCACAGATCCTGCTGAGACCCTGCAGTCTGCCCTTTTACTGCCCCACAATAAGCTTACATGCAGAGTGCTATGAGCAGAGGGGATTATTGGATGGCTGCGAAATTACCGGTCAGTGAAGTGATGCACATCTGCGTTATCTAAAGTGATGGTGCAAGTAAATCAGGAACCCAGTAAGGGAAGTGGGAGCACTAAGGCTAAGGCCACATGCTGGTTGCAAAACGTTCAACACCCGTGTCATGCAGACTCTAGTCAAAATGCCAAAGGAATGCAGAAGTGTGTATTGAGCTGTGGTTGCTGGGGATATAGTCTTCATTACTGTGCACTAGACATGTGCACTGCCAAAAAATTTGTTTCGTTTCGTTTTAAATTCGGATTTGTGTTATTTCGTTTTTCGGGATTCGGGTGTGAAAGTCAATTCGGATTCGGAATTCGGATTCGGACGAAATTCGGTAGCGTTCGCACGAACGTTCGTTTCGTTTTCTGTTCTTATTCGTTTCTTATTCGTTTGCAGCAAAAGTGACATTTGAGGGGGAGAAAATATTTTTCTCCTTCTCTAATGTCACTTTGCTCCAACGAACGAAACGAATAAGAAACGAATACGAACAGAAAACGAAACGAACGTTCGTGCGAACGCTACCGAATTTCGGAAATGGAAATTCGGATTCGTTTGCATTCGTTATGTCTGTAATTCGGAATTCGGATACATCCGAATGTCCGAATTTACGAAAATTCGTCCGAATTTCGATTCGGAACGAAACGAATCGCACATGTCTACTGTGCACTGCCTAAACTTGAGTGATGAGAGACAAGGTCATGGTGAAGAACTGCACATTGTTGTTCATTCAGGCAGTGCAGTACTGTAACACTGTTAAAACAGTCCTCAAGGGTTAGTAGCTGGCTCCAAGGAGATTACAATCTAAGTTCCCTATCACACATTAAACAGGAACTAATTAACCTAACAGCATGTCAATAGGTTATGTTATAACTCAACTCAGCAAAGGTTCTAAATCTTCCTCACCCGACTGGAAAGAATGATTTTACGGAATGATTATTGAGGGACAAAGCAGACCTCTGACCTTAAGTCCTAGAAGAATGGATGCTAAGCAGAATAGGAGAAGACATGCTCCTCCCCTGAGGGCTACACCTCTTGGCACAGGTAGAAAAAGCTCCGCTTTAGGTTATTGACTGAGGAGGTAGGACAACCTAGTTTATGTTTTAGGTTTAAGAAGAAGGAAGATTTTTTTTTGAGTTTCATAGCACCCACTTGTTTTGGCCTGCCATTGAAGTAGTGAAATTCCCTGTTGTGCCCCCATAGTGCCACACTGGATCTCTAAATATATGACTGTGGGCATAGGTATGGCACAGGGTGTGCTTGGGCACACCCTAATCACCCCGAACACAACACTGAAACCACAACAACAGGTGACGTGTTTTTAGTTACTGAGGCGGTGGAGAGATCACAAAGATCTCTCTGTGACCAGTTCAGCGATACAGCGCGCAGTAGCACTTGCCAGTTACATTCCTCACATAACAGCCACAATCCTCGGTGCCTGGGAAGCTGCAAGGGAGTGAAGCTGTGGTTTCCCAGGCTTTTCATCCAATCAGGAAGCCTGGAGGACACATGACCACCGGCCAGGCCCCCTGCTTCATTACTGAGCGCCCGCTGGAAGTGGTAAGGGACAGTTGAAAAGATGGGAATCTGGGATGCCTCAGGTCTTGGTATGTGTATGGGTCCATCGTGTTTAATTTTTTGAAAATACATTTTATTTACATTTCAAGTTCATAAGTCTTTACACTGTTTTATATCTTTTATAATGCTATCTGTATACAATCTTGCCTTACAAATAAACATCTAATACACTGACAGCTCCTAGGCAATTTTTTGTTTTTTTGTTTTTTTGTTTAACCACTTCAAGACCAGGTGTTTAGACCCCCTTCGTGGCCAGGCCATTTTTCAGTATTCAGCGCTGCAGTACTTTGACTGACATTTATTCCGTCATGCAACGCTGTACTGAAATGAATTTTATACCATTTTTTGGGGACAGATAGAGCTTTATTTTGGTGGTATTTAATCACCACTACGGGTTTTATTTTTTACTATAATTAGGAAAAATTACAGAAATTTTTTTTAACATTATGTTAGAAAACATTTATTATTACCCAGTTTTTTGGTAAAATATAAAAGTCGGGGTCACGTCGGTTAAATAGACACCAAACATGTCAAGCTTTAAAATTGCGCGCACCCGCGACATCGCAGAAAACTACCATACCCAAAATTGGCCATAGGCGACACTTTAAAAGCTTTTACCGCTCATCAGTTTAGTGTTATCAGTGATTGATGGCCCTAGACGTATTGCTCTCACTGCGACGTTCGCGGCGATATGTAACATGTGCGGCGTAATGGGCGCAATCGTCTTTTTTGCACGTATGCGCCCCCGACGCATGTTTGCATGCGTGTATGTATGGGTGGGGACTTTTCATTTCTCCTTTTTTAAATTCTTTTTTATGTGTAACTTAAAATTTGGGGGGGACTTTAATTTTTTTTTACTTTTTTTTTTTCACTAAACTTTATTGCTCCCTCTGATCCCCTGCCGGGGATCGGGGCCGCACCGATCGTTGCAAAATACAAGCGATCCGCCAGTCTAAAGACGCCCGCTCAGATCTAGAGAGCTCCGGGCCGGCCGTTTTTTTACTACGGCCGGCCCGGAGGCAGGTAATATGTTTTTATTATTGTTTCACAGTAAAACATTTACATATGTATATATAAAGGAAACAAAATATAGAATTGCATCCTATTGCATAAATAATATACATAGCTTATTTAATAGCCAAGAGCTATTCCATTCTTTTACTGCCTTCCCATCAATGCATAAATACATTATTAAAAAAAAAATCTCTCTCTCCACCCCTTATATCATTCACCTCGCGTTCAATCATACTACCCATTCTTCCTTGGGTGGGAGGGGGAACAATACTGTGTAAATTTGTGCAAATCTTATTTTGTGCTACTCTCAAACCTTCCTAAAACCCCTCTATTTCCTTCTATTGTTCTCACTCTACACTTGTGTTTACAAATTAACCACTTGGTGCCTATAAACTATAACTAATACTTATGTGTACCCGTATTCGCTTTCCCTTTCCTCCCTTATGCTTCTATTCAATGATTGTGTCCCCTATCTCTAGGTAATTTTTTAATCAGATTAGTTTTTTTTTTAAATAAAACTTTGTTGTACATACAATCAGATATAGAACATTATCCCTGTTCCCTTGCTAACCCTGTCCCTCCCTTCTTATAATTCCCACTAAACACAGCTCAACGTACATTAACGTGTATCTTTAGCCAAAATATTGTTTTTGTTTTGAATAGGGTAGGGAAGGGTTAAAACATCTGCCAGTTAATTTTTGCTATCTGTGTAGCACTGAGGACATTTTCCTTCACTTCCTGTCCTGGAGATGCAGCAGGTAGAGGGAATCTCCCAAAATCAGGGGAATGTTCCTGTTAGACAGTTCTCCCTGGAACAAGTGTCCCCAGTTGAAGATTTCCCCCTTCCTTTTATTGTGTGGACAACTCTACATTTTGAATTTTCCCCTCACTTTTGGTGACAAAAGTCATCAGGAGTGGTACATTTCCCCAATAGTAACTTAGCAATAAAAACTTGACGGCGGAATCTGACTCTTCCCCATGCATACGCTTGACTCTAAAGGTGCCCATACACTTTACGAATATCGTACGATTTACGTTTGCGAACGCGTTTTCGTACAACATTCGCAAGGTTGATGGGGAGTGTACAACAGCAGATACTGTACAATTGTAGGACTTTCGAGCAGGCTAAAAAACTTTGGTCGAATCATATGAAATTCGCTAGGTTGGTGGAGTTTTCGTACGCCAAAAATCGCACCAAATCCGTTCTGTCAATTAACAAAATTCGGGCATGTGCTTTCGCTAACGACCGCTAATTGAACTACTCAATGGTCTGTGCATGATGGGGCCGTCGTATGAAAAATGTTGCGTGATGATTGCAAGGTGTATGGCCAGCTTTAGAATTTGTGTACAAAACCACATTCCATTCCCTTATAAAAGCAATTGAAGATTTGCATCCAAATTCCATTTCTTTCATTTACATCTAAATCCCAGTGAAATCAATGTATATCTTTATTAATAAAGTGATTGCATGACACATATTTCATTTTCCTTTAAATAACCAAGAGTAATAAAAACAAAGCCCTGACTAGCCAGGCTTGCCCCTCTGCAGACCCAGCACAAACTGTCCAACCGCAGTCATGTGACAGACGTCACCGACAAGACTCCGCCTTTCCCAGCTAACGGGCAGTGATTGGTGAAAAAGAGTCCTAAATCCCGCCCTTATATGTCAGAAGCATCACGGCCGGCCAATCACCGAGCAAAGTGTTTTGTTTACAGTACGACTAAACAGCTGCTGGTGGTTCCAGGCTTTGCTGTAGCGGTTTCGACGTTTGTCCGGTTGCCTTCCTAGAGATCATCATGTCCGCTGATGTGGAGAGTCTAGTCGTGTTCGAGCGGGATCACTATGATGAGTACGAATACTACAACCTGCAGGAATACGGCTGCGGGGCCGGGGGGAAAGGCAGGACCAAGAAGGAGATCGAACTGAACGGAAACCGCCACGTACCCGCCGGCCACGAGAGGAAGATTGAAGAGAAGCTGCACAACAGCGAAATGAAGCGCAGCAGGATCCGAAGTACCTCCAACTAGAATTGGCGTACACACTCAGGTGACTGCCCGTGTGTCATTATAAGAGCTGGCCACCAGGGGGCGACAAAGCTCCTTCCTCATAAATCATCTACCGAATACCAACACGGCCACGAGTGTAAATAGACACACAGTAAGGGGAAAAGTTGCCGCAACCAATCAGCTTCTCCCTGTCATTTTCAAAGCCCAACTGAAGAGAGAAGCTGATTAGTTACTATGGACAAACTGCTCTTGTTTTGTGTACGGCACTGTTTGTGTAAACGCATATCTGGGAAGTATACAATGTCCTTGTACGTTTATACACTTGCATTTAGATGCATTCAGAGTATCTAATTTGCCCCTGGACGCACAGAATTGTGTTTTCCCTAAACACCAGGCAACGCTTTGTGAATTGTATTGTTTAAAACCATTTTACAAATGTAGAAATGTCTTTTATGAAGACATGTATGTCCCTGCCAGTGTGAATGAGGCCTCAGTGCCCTGTTCGTATTGGTTTTATGCAGGGGTAGCCAAACTCCAGCCGTTGTGGAACTACATATCCCATGATGCATTGCAAGATTCTCACAGCCACAGGCATGACTCCAAAAGGCAGATACATCATGGGGATTTGTAGTTTCAATACAGCTGGAAGGCTGGAGTTTGCCCACCCCTGGTTTTATGTGTATGTAGTTGATTCCCATAAAGTTAGTATTTTTCATATGGCTCAGGATTTATAGTATTTGTAAAGGCTCATATATACACGGGTGGCTGAACCTGTACCAAATAAATTCAGGTAAATTTCTCTGTCCAGGAGCTGCAAGTGCCATGTACATCCGCCCGTAGAAGTCAATGGCTGTATACAGCAGACTTGTGTAACATGCACATGTGTAAGGGCGCACAACCCTGAACGCTGGCTGTCTGTATTCAGAATTGTGCATCTGTACACAGACGCATGTTTACCTGTGTCTGGTGTATACTTGCGTACAGCCATTGACATCTATGGGCAGCTGTACGCAGCATCTCTGGCCCCTGGACAGAGAAATATGCCCAAATTCACATTGTGCAGTCAAGTGCATGAGCCCTAAAGATCTCATTTTAGTGGGTAAATGGCTGACTTGCTCACCTGTGTGTTCTGTACTAGGCAACACTAAACTGGTAATCGTGTTCTTCCTCCTAACCGTGTATTCCTGCAGGCTTTTTTATTTGTAGCTCCCGGGTACCAATGTAAGGAATGTGAAAATGGAACAGCTCAAGGGTTTCAGACAAAGAAGAAATTAATTAGAGGGAATGTTTGTAGACTTAACTGCCTGTGAATTCCTCCGGGGCCAACAAGCATTTGTCCCCTGACACTAGCGGAAAGGTTTCCAGACTGTAAGGTATGGCCCGTGTCCCTGTGGAATGTCATTACTGAGATGAAGTTCTGGGATGTATGACCTTGGGACAGCTTTGATAAAATTAATTAAAACTGAAGACACATGCCTACTGCAGAGGAAAGAACATTTTTTGTGGGGTTTGGTTTCTTATTGAGGAACTCCTGGCTTCTTTTTTATATTTTATACACAAGTGAACATATAAGCTTAAAGCCCAAAATAGTACTTCTGTAGTGGGGCTACCCCCATGCTGCCACGGTAACGACTTGTTTCTGTCTAGGGACTGGAGTAAAGCAGATTTACTTTCCTCATCCCTGCTGCTGCCAGTTTCCTCCAGGCTACTAGACCAGTCACTGCAGCCTCTTCTTCCCTGGCTCTGGCAGTCTAAGAACTGCTGAGATCATCATGTCTAATGCAGGTTCTGTAGACCTGCAATAGATGTGAGGATTGAAAGGGACAGTCAACCAGCTGGGGCGGAGGGGAAGAAGAGGAGAGCACTGAGCTCTGGGGGAGTGGGGATCAGGTGAGTAAATCTGTCTTGTTCCAGTCCCTATACAAAAACAAGCACTTAACCCTTGCATTGCGGGGTTAGCCCCACTGCAAAGTTGCTTTTTTTTTTTTGCCAGGAATTTGGGCCTTTAGGCTCCATTCACACTGGATCCATTGCGTTGCATTACCATCTGATTTTTAACAGATGCTAATGCTAATGCTAGCTCAGCGGAAAATAATTGGGTGATATGTTGTGCTGAAAAAAAGTAGAGCACGCGCTACTCTTTCCAATGCAACGAGTCAAAAACACACGCCAATGCATCTCAAGCCATTACAGTGAAATATGGCCACTCAGGACATGTTACTTTATATAAAGCTTGCCAAAAAAAATGAATGCAGCGGATCGGAAGGAAAACGGAAGGTACAATCTTAAGTCAACAGACCCTCCATTGACTTGGGAGTACCTTCTGATTTTGGTGTGAATGCACCCTAAGGCCCCATTCACACTGAGCGACATGAAAATCGCGCGATTTTCGGCGCAATTCAATATGAACGATATTGAGCGACGTGTCGCGTGACTTTTTCCTATTGGGCTGTATGCAATCAGGAGCAAAATCGCTCGAAATCTCGGAAAAAGGGTCATGTAGGAGCTACAAGCGATATTGAGCGACAAGATGTGAACAGCTCCATTGAAATGGATTGGAGAAGCTACATAGAGCGATATAGCGTGGAAATATGAGCGCTATCGCTGCAAAAATCGCTCGATAAATCGCTCAGTGTCAATGGGGCCTGAAGCAGTTACACCAACAGTTTTATCTCCTTATGGAAAATACATTTAAACCATGTGATTAACAGCTGACTGTTGACGGCATCCCTGTCTGCATAATTTGTTACAACTGTTATTTTTGCTGTCTTTGCAAACAGAAGAAAAGCTGGCCGCACATCGAATTCTGCTGGGATCATTTAGTGAAGCTTGTGCCGCATCACCGGTGTCCTGCTCAAGGTGCACCCCTATGACACATTTCACCCAGTCACGGGCTTAGTCATAGAGATCTATGACTATGTAATTTGTATGACGAAGCCCGTGATTGGGTGAAATGCGGCCAGGGGGGAGGAACACCAGAGATGTGGTACAAGCTTCCGTAAACTATCCCAGCAGAATCCGGTGTGTGGCCAGCTCTTCTGTTTGCATGGGCTCATATTGAAGCGAGCATGTGCTCCAGTGGCAAGCACCCAGCTCATTCCTTTCCTGAGCCGTGGAGGAGTGGTGCTTCCTTTGTGTGTTCTCCTCTAATTTTTTCTGGATACCTTGGCCTGCATTTAAAGATGTAGAAAAACAAATGCTTGTGACATAAAAAAAAACAGTATACTGTAGGAATTTGTTAGACCAGTTACCAGAATACAATAGTGGGCTTTTAAAGCAATATTGTTACAAGGGAAGTGTAGGGGCTACCATTGGTGGCCTGTAGACAGTGCTAGTTGCCTAGCAATGTCCTACTTGAGTCACAGACAGAGAACATGCATTCTGTAAATGAGTGGTAAAAGTCGTTATCTCTATACTTGTTCCAGGACAGTGACACATAGCATTGAAGCCAAGGCATCATCTTGGTAGACAGGGAACCAGCATTTTTAAAAGGGCAGTTCAGCATTGGCAGCTTCACTGATTCTCATGTGACCGAGTTGCATGGTTATCAGAATACCATATGGGTCAGTCCACGTGCATCTTCTTTCCATCAAAGGTGGAATCCACTGGCTTTTTATACCACTATGATCTCACATCTCTATTTCCTGACTGTTGCTGCCCACTTTCCAGCAGGAAGAGAAGGACCCTCTCATACCAGCTATAATCAGTGTGAACAGCTTGAGCAGTGATCTTGCCACCAGAGTTTAAAATGGTGTGCAAGTGTTTATAGATTTCAGGCAATCATGTCCCATGTCTACAGACCATTGTAGGAAAGGATATGAAAAATCTAAGGTTTTAGGTATAATTGGAGACAGGTCAAAAAATGCACATTTTGGGCCTTTTTATCGTCACGTGATGACGCTGAAATTAAAGCCCAGCCACTTGAACCTCCTCATACCCCTTATGGCCTCCACTGGCTGTGTCTTATGCTTTTTGTTTTAAGTACTCGACTATTTCAAAGTCTTCATTGCAGTGTGTACTGGTATGGCCAGCTTAATCTCCACATGTCACATTTGACAAGGTGATAAGGAAGAAGCCTATTTAGGAAACAGTTGTCAATCGCTGGTGATCATGCCATGAAGTTCTTTGCTATTATGAAGCCTTTTACGAAAGCTGCGGTTTTAGAAAAAAAAAAGATAACTTAAAATAACTTGTTGACTTTTATGAGATGAACATGTTACATTTTTTAAAATAAGATTTTACCAATTGGGTTTAGATTTATTTTAAGCTTCTTTTTTCTCTCTCTTCCAGGTATTTGACTTGTGCTCAAACTTATTTTGATTTGCCTTTGGTATTTGTGGTTCTGTTAATGAGACGTCGGACTCGCCTTACGGAAGACTCCTTCCGCGGTTATTTCCACGAAGCAGTGCTGTGGGCCTGAACTGCATCCTGAACTTTGCATGTGTTGAATGTGCTGCAGTTGCATAGCAGAAGCTGCTGTTGGAGCTTTAACCAATAGAAAGGTTTTAATTACCTGCACCTTGCAGTATACATTTAGTAGTCTTTTGTATCCAGTGATATTGGTTCTATTAAGAAATTTTATATTATGCTTGGACCAACAAATAAAAATATTTAATATTTTAACCATTTGAAGCTGTTGTTTCTAATATGTATTTACAAAACAAAAAGCCATTCGTGTGTTGATTTGTCTGACCTCATTTTTCTTTTGACTCAATGGGTTTTCTATTGTTTTGAGTAGTTGGGTTTATGCCTCCACTTTACACTACTTTTTTCTGTAGACCTGTGATGGTTGGATTTGTATTCATTATCTGACCACCATCAGACATCAGAGTCGGCAGAATGGTTTCCTGTCCATGGTAATGGAGAGGGGTGAGGAAAGTAGTGGTGGCAGGTACATTAAGCTCCTCTTGTTTGTGGCCAGCGGGGTCAGTGCTCCCCATGAACAAGAAATTACAATTGCCTGATTCAACTGGCTTTATAACAAAACTGTTATATTGCTTATACAGTGCTTGCACTGTACCAGCAGCTGTCCATAACACTGTATCACCAGTGAATTTTTCCAAATGGATACAAGATGCTGGTAAAAAAAATCTCTGGTAAATGTCCACGATTTCTTGCTGGAAATTACAGCAATAGTGGTAAATATCCACAGTAGAGCACAGCAGTGTCCTCCTTTACTACTGTACACTTCCATTGCATTCAAAACCTTACAAATCAATCAGTTTATATAATTTTACCAGAGAGCTTTTTACCGCAGTGTACTGTTGTGATCTGCTGACCTGCCATACTAGTCTCTAGTTCTGCAGCTGCAACACCAATCTTCTGCCTTAATATGCTGGGCCCTCTAATTCTGCAGTTACCCATCTTCCGTCTTGGCTGCTGGGCTCTGTAGCTTGCCCCGCTCTAGAGACATAACCCGGCAGGGAGCTTATAGGCTGCACTTCCCCGGACTCACCACCACGGAGGTGCCGATGAGCACGATGAACATCTGGATCTCAGCCCTGGGGTCCTGCGGAAGCTCCTCTCCAGCTTGAAGTCAGAGATTTGGGTGCTGGTTTCCCAGGGAGGTCCGACGCATGAACTGCCAGTATCTGGATGAAAGTTACACACACCAATACATTGCACAGCATGTTGACCAGGAAGAGAGGGGAGCTGCAGCCGGCATACATGTAGGAGTAGGCGGCATAGGTGGGCATGTTGGTCCCCCAGTAAGAACCAGGAAAGAAGCACCAGGTCCAGAAATACTGGCAGTAATTTATGAATAATTTATAATCTAATTTTTTTTTTCTCTTACCCAACTGGTTTGGGGGCAGCATTTTTTGCCGCCCCCCTGGAAAGTGGCGCCCTAGGCAAATGTCTAGTTTGCCTTGCAGTAGATACACCCCTGGGCTAGATGACATATACTGTGCTGTATTTGGTGCTTCCAAATGATTTAGTTTGTGTGTGTGTGTTGTGTTTTTTGTTTTTTAAAGCGAACCTGTGAAATTAGGCTTCCATTGATTATCTATACTTCTAAATATTCTGGTTGCCTTGCTGCCATACTGACCTGCTTGAACACTTCCAACTATTTATTAGAAGGGAATCTCAGAAGTTCCACTGGGTCTCTTCTGATACTCACTACAAGCTAGCGCGCTTTATATTGGCGTTTGCAATACCTGAAAAATGTGGAGGGAGAGACTTTAGGATGAAGCCGCCGCCGGAGGACACAGCGGGGATCGCGGACAAGGTAAGTCCTACGCTGTATTCCCGAGTGTGGCTCGGGGTTACCGCTTTGTTAACCCCGAGCCACACTCGGGAATACCAATGGAAACGCACGGAAAAACGCCCCAAAGAAGCTCCTGTACTCGTTTGGGCGTAGGGCGTTTTTCAGCGCATTTCCACGGGCTGAAATACGCCCAGGTGGGAACCATGCCCATAGGGAAGTATGGGATTTCACTGTTTGAGCGTTTTTCAGCGCTTCGATCAGCGCTGAAAAACGCCCATGTGTGAACCCGGCCTAAAGTGACACTAAACTCAGGAGTTAAATCTTCAAAATACATTTAAGTACCTTAACTATTAACAAAAATGTTTCTTTTTTGTGTATCATTCGGCTGTAGATCCTCAAATCATCTCTGAATTGGTGCTGACACTGTCCTTCCTTCTGGAGGGTGGCTACTTTTGTTCCCCAATTAGGTTAATTTCTTGAAGCCCATCCGGACAACTTCATTCTGCCCTGAAGTCTGTTTTCTGATGCTGACTGGTCATTTCTTCATAAGGTTATCAAATCACAGTAATCCCCTGGATCCTGAGAGGACCCACCACTGGACATCCAGTAAGAAGTGTCCATGTCATCCAGGCAGTGATGTGAAAAAAGGCACGGGAAGCTGGGCACTACCATCGGGGTCCTTTGTCAAATGGCAATGAAAAAAAAATGTACAGTGGGGAGAGGGTCATTTGTATAGAGCTTCAAGGGTGTAATGTAAAATCCAGGTTTGGGTGATGTCTTAAAGATGTACATGATGTTATGGACCATCACAATATTCAGGGATAGTGTATTGGCAGCACATATTTACCTGTGGAATGTATAGTTTTTTCCATAAGCTGTGCTTGCAATCAGCAGCAGCACCCCAATTCACTTGATTTTAGGTAGTTTAGGTATTTTTAGGTATTTTCAGGTAATTTTAGCAGCAACACAGGTGTTTTCATCTTGCAGTACCAAGACTGGTTTGATCAGTTTGACGACATATTTTGTCAGCTCCCTTTTTAGCAACACCACACTGTACCTTTTTTACACATACAAAAGAAAAAAACACTACACACCACTAGGGATGCACAGATACTTTTCGAGTACCAGTGCAGATACTTGGAATTTTCACGAGAACTACCAGGGTTGGAGCGGTTGCAGCTGGGACCTGGCTCTGGTGCTCCACCACTGTCCTGAAATCATTAGTCTGTATTGTTTTAGAAAAACTGTCACATGACAATAAACAAAAATGTATCAGTACTCGTACTTGTAAGTACTCGGCAAGTACCAGTACTCGTACTCGCAAAACTGGTATCTGTGCATCCCCTTATTTATAGTTATAAAAACAAAATCGTACATTAAAACAGAGATGTGCAAATCCCAGGAGCTCCGCGTGCTCCTTACACATGACAGCTGCCTCCTAACTTTTGAATTTTTCTCTAGTCTAGTCTTGGAGCTCAAAAGTATCGGTACATATACTCGTACTTGTACCGAGTACTGTACTTGGTATCTGTGCAACCCTACACACCACCATTCCACATTCCCCCCACCCCCAATCCCTATTCCCTTTTCCAAAAATATTAAGGGTATGGCCCTCAGGCATGGTTTGGTAGAAATTGGCCAGGGAAGTTTTACTTCAGGGAGAACAGACCTAAGTGTTGATACAGAAAGCACAAGCAGGTGTTTTCTTACAAATCATAAGAACATTTTAAAGCTGAACATGCACAGATTACATACATATATATGAGATCTGTTTCGCCTACTAAAAGATTTGTATTTTTGTTCTTCCAGTTCTGAGATTTACACAGCTCTGCCACACAAAATAATCCTGTCTTGCAAGGGAGGGGACCAGATGTTTCTCTGCTGCAGTTTCATTTGCACTTATAGGTCTCCTTCGCACCCTGTGACTAGACAGTGAAAGGAGAAGCAGCACACTGAGGAGCTTATCTTTTTGTCACTCTGCTCTCTCCTTCTGTCACCATGCTTTTTTCACTGCAGTACACCTGATTGGCTCCAACTGCTGCTTCTCCATCCTCCTTTCTAAACACTGCTGTATAGTAGACTGGAAAAGGCTGATACCAAGCTAAATTCTGGTACTTAAACTCTTTTCATTAAAAAACACATTTAATGATGTAGTAATCATTGCAGAGCTGCATTGTGTCTTTTATATCTGCCTTGAGTTGAGCTTGAACTGTTCTTGGAGCTGGCTAGTCAATGCGTGCTATTATCATCCTCCCTCACTGGTCCAGGAGGCCATGGTTTCTTGTTACAGATTATCTCAGCTCCTCAACTGTTTCTTCTGGTCAGCCAGGATTTCCTGGTTCCGGGAGATTGGTGGCACCCAAACCCAGCAATGCTCCATTTGACTGTGTTAACCCAGTGATAAGTCATGGGTTATCCTCAAAGGTTATCGCTAAATTGCCAAATGCATAAAAATGAATCCCATCTACAATCCAATCTAGACAAAATGTGTTCTTCCAGCAAAGAACCACTTTCCTGCCCTCTCTCGCGATCTACCTAATGTGCTGGAATTCTACCGCTTTAGACAAGGGCCCGGCATATAATGGTCTGAAGGTGCAGATCTACTGTTTGCTGGCTAGAAATGGGCTGAAGATCCTGTGGTAAAGAGTTTCCTATGAGCAACAACCAGAATACATCCTCCGAGGAGGTTTTTGTGTCCATCATGAGAGTAATTAAATCTTTAATGACTCTCCGTTATGCTCCTTTGGAGTAATGTTCTTTATGGTTCCTGACACCACAGACTGTGAAGGGAATTCCATCTGCTCCCGTTTTAGTAAATTCCCCCCTGTGTTTCTAACCACTAATCCATCCACTAGAAGACTGGACTGGGCACATTATCTTGCATGAATCCCTTCTGCATCCTTCTTCCTGTCAAGGTTATTCTATGGCCCTCTCCACAGTTCTAATTTTCACAGATCTTGAAATCTGTCCTTTTAGGTAGAGTTTTCAGAGTTGCATCAAGAAGACTATAGTTACTTGGATGTTGTAAGATTGATGTCCATCTATCTAAATAGAACCAAACTCTTCAGGAAAGCGGTCAATTTATTTGTCTTGCCTGGCGGCCCAAATATGGGCATGGCGGTGACATCCAGAGAAAGGTCTACCTGGATTCCGAAAGTAGTATACGTGTAACAGGGCTTGTCTCCTCTAGCTGAAGTGCCAGCTCATTCTACTTCAGGGATGTCAACTTCTTGAGCATCTTAGGCCAAAGTATCGGCAGAGAACATCTGCAGATGGCCAGATGGAGGCCATTGAACACCTTTTTTGCCACTATAAGCTGGAAGTGGCCTCTCATTATTCTCAGTTTGGCTCCTTAATGCTTTCTGCAGCCTTATTACTAAGATAAAAATGTGTGTCTAAATTGTTTCACTTGTCCTTCATTGCTATCCTGAGTAGGTTAGCTAGTTACAGTACATCCCTTAGTATGCTGACATGAGGTGAGGCAGGAATACGGAAAATTGTTACCTGATACCTACTGTAATTTTCTTGTCTAGTTATGGAACACTTTTTGGGGGGTGGGGGGTTTTGTATCTTTTATTCAGTTAGGAGGTGGTCCTGTGGGGGTCAAGGCGGTGGAGTTGACCCATAGATGGCTGATATGAGGATAAGCCAGGAAAGGAAATTATGGTAAATATCAGATAACAATTTTCTGTATTCCTGCCAAAGCAAAGAGAAGAGTAACAAGAAAGAGTGATTCTGCGGAGCTAAGCAGTGGCTGCCCTGAATTTTTCTTTGTAAGCCTCTCTCGTGGCTAATGTGCAGTGAGCCTGCCCTACACCCCATGCTATGCTATTTGGATGTGGAGCGGGGTGTGATTCCTGAACAAGTGGCTGTTGTCCGTGCAGTAATGTGAATCCACTTGATCCACCTTCTTAAATGCTAAGGTCCTCTTAGGGTGAGAAAGTAGTCAGGAGACGTGGGACAATAGTCTTCTGAAATATTAGCAGAAAATAATATGAACTATCTGAAATATGTGTATGGCATATTATTATACAGTGATAAAATGTTGGTAAACTGGACATTCTATCCTACATTATTAACAATATTAAACACATTGGGCATCACTTTAAGCAAATAAAATATAGAATTGCCCCCCAAAAAATGTTCAAGGGGAAAATGAGAGATTTGGGGTAGTGGGGTCTGTAGTGAAACCAACATAGAAAAAAATATTTACCTCCACCCTGGCTTCCAGGAGGTGCCTGTGACATCAGCGTGCCTCAGCCCTGCCTCCTGGCTGAAATACCAGAAGAATGCCTCCCTTCAATGGGCTGGAGTGTATTCTCACTGGATTTTAAAGCTGAACTCTTAACATCTATCAGTGATGCCACATAGGTCTAAAAGAAAGCTGTCAATAACTTAAACTACAACTACACCATTTAACAGATAATTCATGAAAAATGTGTGATATATAATAACAGCAGCTTTGGCTGGGCATCAGGAGGAGGTATAATGGAGGCCAATATCTCTGTGCAGCACCATTATGAGAAAGTACAATTCCTATTGTGCAGTGGGTCTTGTAGTTATTGGGCATTATTGTGGGTGGGATTGGGGGGCGGGTACAGGGTTGTCCCTTTAATGAGGCAGCCTCAAGGGACATCTCTTTGGGTCATGTGGGGGTGGGGGTCAATCAGAGCGGCATGTTTGCAGTGTGCCTGTCACCCCCTTTCTGGCCAGATCGTCCCAGGTTGCTAAGAGCCAGATGGGAAGAGCCATACACATCTCCCCACACAGCTCGCTGCGAAAAGTCAGAACAGAAGATGTGTCATCTTGCCAACGTTTCAGGGCCACGCAGTGTCCCTTCTTCAGAGCGACATAGTGACAATAACATGTTCTAGCTTCCACATATTCTTCTGTTCTATGACTTGGAGGAACACGGCACCAGCCGTGTTATCACTGTGAGCACCACGAATAATAACAGAAAGGTCAACGCGGTGTATGGAGTTCAGGTGCCTCATCACAACAATTCAGGCAGCAGAATAGCTAGGGACACCACTGGAATGGATGGTTATTTGGCAGCATGGATGGCATCCAATGACGCAGTTACAGTGGTCGACTCAGTCCAGAAGTCCGAGGCTCCTGGGTCAGCCCACTTCAGCGAGCAGGGACATAATGACATCACCTCTCGCTGCAAACAGAACTACAGTGGGGTAGTAACAAGACCGGTGGCCAGGGGAAGTGAAGACATAGCTGTTACCAGCCTTATTAAATGGATGTTAAGAGAACAGAGGCCTGCACATCATTAAAAGAAGTATTGGTTTCCCATTGCCTAGATACCTGTGCATGCTAAGAAGATCAGATTCATAAGAAAGCACCTTTATATGAATGAAATACAATTTGTGCCCAGGAGGCAGCATTGGGGCACTGTGACATCATCCTAGAAGTGTTAAAAATCAAAGGGCAGAGGTTTATTATTTAGATAACTTTAGTTTTAAAGTTTATGAAAGATGTATACTGTTTGGTGGGTGAGAAAAAAAGTGAGCAGACCTCCCACTTTAGGTATATAACATGTTGATGTTATGTGCTGGGGATTATGTATTATGTAAGGCTTTCAGTTGAGGACATTACAATGCCCTGAGACGAGTAGAACTGGTGAGAACTGTGTTGTCGTGTTTACTATTGGTACAACACTCTGCTGCGTCACTCCATGACCTTCACCCTGACTACAGCGAAGACATTTTCTAGAAGCCTGTACAGCCGCTGCAGGGTGGATACCAAGTAGCGTCAGCACGTTAAGGGGCGTGGCGCCGGTGACGCGTCAGAAGTGATAAAAGCTTGTGTCGCTGTGTCTGACGCAATCACTTTGACATAGCCTTGCTGACGGACGTTTGCAGAACCGTAATAGTACAACGATGCCTAGAGGAAGTCGAAGCCGTACCACTCGGATGGCCCCGCCAGCCAGGTATGTTCATTGTAAGCCGCCTTTCCTTCGGAGCTGAGCTCTGTGATAACAGCTCAGTGTGGAGAGTAGCCGGTGTAGGTGGAGTCACGTGTTATACAAGACATGGCTGCTTCACAAGGACATCTGTAACCACTGCCGGTCAGTATATTCCCTTCTACTGAGCTATGGACATGAGGAGGAGAGGGCAGAGCCTGCTTGTTTGGGCAGGTTGATGCTTACATCAACTTTGGTTTACAGGATTCTAAAGGACAAACTATTCCCCTTTAAATTGGATAGACTCGGGAAAGAGGTAAAACCGCTGAGATTTCACTTCCTGTCATGGAGACTCATCAGGAAGTGAGAAGAAATCTCTCCAAGGGTAGGGGAAATTTTAATCAGCAGAACAAGTGTCCCTATTAGAAGATTTTCCTCTATTCCTGTTTTGATGACAACCATTATACTTTGGATTTCTATTCTAGTGACCGTGCTTACATAAGATATCCATAATGCTGGAATTCCAGCCTTATAGCCACAGAATCAGCCAGCCTTCTGGCACCATTCGGCTCCACAAACTTCAATTCAAATAAATCATAGGAGCTGGGTGGAACATTGTTGGCCAAACAGTGACTGCAGCCAATTATTATTATTATATGTACTTATATAGCGCCAACGATTTACCCAGCACTTTACATAGTTGCCCATTCACATCAGTCCCTGTCTTAGACAACAATCTAAGGTCCCCACATGCATGCAGGGCCAATCCGCTGCAGTTACTAAGGGATTCAGACAGCCAAAGGCTCCAGCTGTCAGAATACAAAAGCCATCAGGGGAGATTCCTCCATCCACACTGTTTAGCATCATGGATGGGGAAATCTAGTGATTTTTCTCCTTTAGCCCACAGGTTGCTGAGAGAAATGGAAACAAGTATGACCTGCTGTAGACAGAATCTCTCCAGTGGGAAACACAGCCATACAAATTGAATTTATAGCTGATTGGTATATGCAGCTGTCAGTGGTTGTTAAGGATCGGATTTTTCTGCTCCAAGTGAATAGTATGATTTTTTTATGGTCTTTAATATATTGAGGGAGAGTTAGATCCCTATCAGGTTTTACTGCTATCTGGAGATCATGGATTTCCCCACACTTTTTGTTCTGAGGACAACATTCTACCAGACAGGAAGTGAAGGGAAAATCAGCAACTGGGAAACATACAGTAATAACTTCTGTCGCTGCTGCTGTTGGTGTTTGAGAGTTCCTGTCTAGTGAAAAAGTTGCCCTCAGGACAGTGAGTGAGGGGAAATCTCTCTATTGGAGTACTGGTCAGTAGTAAAAAGCTGACTGAGTTCTAATCCTTTCACACTCTATACAAAGCTTCAAGTAAAATTGGGCTATAGGTACACTTTAAACATTGAGAGACCCTAGAGCAGGGGTGGGCAACTCTAGCCCTCCAGCTGTGCTTTAACTACAGATCCCATCATCCAAAGACACACTGGAAGTTTAATTGTCTCCTGTCTATATTGGCCCTGTATGTATGCATGTGAGATAGGGACCTTAGATTGTAAGCTTCTTGAGGGTAGGGACTGATGTGACTGTGCTCTATGTAAAGCACTGTGTAAATTGTCAGCGCTATACAAATACCTGTAATAAATAAATTTCTCTGCCTCTGGGAGTCATGCATGTAACGGTCAGTCTTCTAATGTCTCATGGGACTTGTAGTTCCACAACATCCAGAGTTGCCCACCCCTGCCTTAGTGTCACGTCGGTAGTTTGTTCTTTTCCTATGTAGCCAGCTTTATTCTTTATCAAACAGAAGACAGAATTTTTTTTGAAAACTGTACTGCTGTTCCCCAAAGATAAGATGTGGCTGAGGTGTCCCATCCTACTATATATACTTAGGCAAACCCAAGTGTGCATGTTTATACATAATCACAGAGATGTCTTCCAACAGTAGCATCATGTCTGCTTTTTCTGTTACCGTCTAGGGTCCCATCCAATATTGCTTACTAATGCAATTTGATTGGAATTGATTAAAGGAGAACTATGGGGTTAGTGCTTTTCCCCATAGTTCTCCTTACGGTAACGGGAGGACACAAACTAGCGCCCTCCCGTCACCCTAGGCTCAGTATACCGCGAGCTACACTGAGACGCCGCAGTATACCGCGAGCAGGTATACTGAGATGCTGAAGCGGTTCCCGACAATTGTGCCGGGATCCGCCCAGCTGCGTGACTGACAGCTGGCTCTGCCTATCTAGAGGAAGAGCCAGCTGTACCCGCCCCCTCCCTCGTCCGTTCCGTCAGTCAGCCTGACCTACGGACGTCCGACTTACAGACAATCTGTACTTACGAACCGGGGTCCACAGTTCTAAATGTACCGGCAGCTGCCGGTACATTTAGGAGAACTGTGGCTGCGGCGGCCTGTGTCCCTTGAAATCCCAGCTGCTCTCCCCGCCTGTGTTGGCGGAGGCAGCGGGGACACAGACCGCTGCATTTCTCTGCCCCCTGTACCTCCGCTGCTGTCCCGGCCTCCTCTTCCCCCGGTCCGTCGGCTTCGCTTCCCGGGTCCGGCCAAACCTCCGCTCCCCCAGTCCGGCCGCGGCTCCTACAGTCATGCAAAGAAAAAATCTTTCATCGGGTAATAGTTCCAGGAGTAGTTTATTAAGAAGTCTAAAATTCAATGACAATAGAAATAAAAATCACGTTCAGCCGGTCCGAAAGCTAAATCGTGTTAGCTTTCGTGTTAGCGGGCTGAACGTGATTTCCATCCAGTTATATAATCTGCCTCTAGATAGGCAGAGCCAGCTGTCACTCACGCAGTTGGGCGGATCCAGACATAATTGTCAGGATCCGCTCCGGCTGCGGCGTCTCAGTATATAGCGAGCTGTAACTCGCAGTATACTGAGCTTAGGGTGACGGGAGGACGCTAGTTTGTGTCCTCCCCTTACCCTAAGGAGAACTATGGGGAAAAGACTTAACCCCATATTTCTCCTTTAAGTACAAACCTACAGTCTCTATCTTGTATGTAACCCAGGGACTGCCTGTATATAGAAATATAAATATGGTAAGTGAGACTCTTTGGATCAATTGTTTTCCTCCAGCACTCTTCCCATTAACCAATGTTCTCTGAATACAGATTTCTTCAGAGTGTAATAAACCATCAATAATATCCATAACAGGCATTTGAAGGCCTGTGTGATGTGATGGGAATGTCTTCATTTCTGTAAGGTTGATGTATTACTGGCCATCGTGTTTACAGTCAAATCACCAAACTTTTGTTTTATCATCTAGTATAGAGCACGATGGTTCATGAACTGTGATGTGCAATTATATTCATTACTTGTGACAAGTCTGTGTTTGCTTTTCAGCCGAGCACCGGTGATGAGGTCAGCACCACCTCCTGCAGCGCGCCCATCTGCTGTTGCTGCTGCCCCTGCCCCATCCGCCCTTGGACCTGCAGCAGCCCCTAGACAACCAGGTCTCATGGCACAAATGGCTACTACAGCTGCTGGAGTTGCAGTTGGTTCTGCAGTGGGACACACTTTAGGTCATGCTATGACTGGTGGGTTTGGTGGTGGCAGTTCAGAGCCTGCAAGTGCAGATGTCACTTACCAGGTAAGGACTGTGATTATTATGTGGGATCTCTGGGACAGTAAGTGAGCATGGTCTCTTGGTCAGGGATGCACACAAGCAATTTCTGTAATAGACTGCCAGAGTTTGTCTATCTATGTCCTTGTAGTGCATGTTGTAAAAGGAATTTATCCTGGTATAGACACAGTAATAACTTGGCAAAGAACCTAAAAACTCATGTAAACATATATTTGACTGGAGTTGGCCTTTCATTTTTAGGGTTTAATGAGGGGTCAGCTGAAAGGTAAGGTTTGGGATGAAGACTCAGTGGCTAGAAGCCCTGTCTCAAGCATTACCAAAGAGAGTTTAGAGGCCAAAAAACCAGTGTGCCATCTCTTTAGGTATGCATGCCATGAGGGTGACCAGCTTTAAACCACCATCAGTGTATGCTAATGTTATGTTAAATGTTGAAGAATTGCAGCGACATACCCATCTGATTTATTGGCTAGTCTACAAATCTGTGTGTTTAAAGCCCATTTGAACGTCCGGCTCAAAACAACTAACTACATTCCAGGTGCATTAAAACAAAAAATGTGTAATGTCTCAGGGCTAAGTCACACTGTATCTAGTGATTGGGACTTGTACACTGGAGCACACTACAGCCCAGTATTCCACACTGCTGTACGGGGACCTGAATGGAGTGCACAGTTCGTACACTCCAGGGAAAAGTAAACAATGTGACACACTGTGACAGCACATTGGCACTAGTGTGAACAGGCACTTAGTCTGTTTTCTTCCCAAAACAGTCACAGCTGCACAGCCGGACCCTTGCTCTCAGTGGGAAAGCACTGGTGCCTGCCGAGGTCTGACACACCTCTTACTGAATCAGACCTATAGCTCTCCAATAGCAAAGCTCATGCTTTTGGATTATTGGAGAGCTCTGGATCTGACTCAGTAGGGGGTGTGTTGCACCTCTGGAAAGAGATCACTGGGTCCAAGGGTCCCACTGCTCACCATGCTGCCAAGTGGACAGGCTTTTCTACTCAGGCTGACTTTCAAAGAAACAAACTAGAATACTCTGAGGCCAGGTTCACACCATTTTCCCGACCAGACCTGGAACACGGTGCATTGCGTTTTGCCCCGTTTCATAGTGGTTTTGTTTTTTTAGCTTAAAATGGGCTTTTGGGTGCGGTATAGTGCATTTGCATGTGGTTTTGATGCGTTTCCATGCATTCCAGTTCAGACAAAATGACAGATGCAGTGTTTTTCTGGTCTGGTCTGGAACGGACTGCGCTGGTGTGAACAGAGGCAAGAAATAGCGTAGGGGTACATTTTGGGTCTGGAAACAATCCAGTCTGGTCTGGAAATGATCTGGATTTGGTGGGAACCTGGCCTGAAACAACTTTTGTTTTTGATGCACCTGGAATGTATTCAGCTACATGTAAACCAAAAGTTCAGTTAGCCTAATACAATAACAAGTCTGAGAGGTACATTTCTAGTAAAGGTAAACATTACAATAACAATAAGTATGTGCATTAAGTGATATTTCTCCAGCAAGATCTGGGCAGAATCAGTTACTTCTATTGGAAGTCAAGCTGCTTTTCTATAGGAGAGGATTTGTGGCAGGTTTGCTGACAAGACAATTGTTCTGGAGAGATCAGAGAGACAGACTTTGAGTCAAGCAACACACACTATTAAATGGTTAGTGACATGTTTTATACAGTGCAATCATACCTTTAACCCCTTCCTGCTGCCTTCCATCCCTATACTAAGGTTCCTCTGTACAGTGCCCCATGCTAAGGATACATTAATAAATGTGTTCCCAGCAGTCAACACTTTACATAGCTGCTAGCTCTGAATCCTGGCTGTCACTGACCGGTCCCAGTGATTGAGAATTAGTCAGCGTGGTTCCCGATCATACGATAGTTGTCAGCTATAATAGAGTAATCCTATTCAGGCTTGGGGACATTATTGACAAAATAAGCCTTCAGCCTGCAGATGCCGATGTAGCATGAAGGGGGAGGGTTTATCTTAATACGGTTATTTTCAGATAGTACAGTATTAAGGAAATAAAAACATGCTTAATAAAAAGTAAACCGAAGCCCAGCCTGCAAAGAAAAGGTTTAATACTTACCCCTGCCACTGCCCACACCAAAGAAAGCTGCTTTCTTCAAAGATCTTGCTGAAGAATCTTCAGCATTTGGAACACTTCAGGGGTGTCTAGTGACTAAGTCCCTCTGGTTTTTCATCTTTCTGCTGGCCTCAACATCTATAATAAAAGCCTTCTATAAATAGCTCACAAAATGTATGAATGGTTTACTTTTAGGCATACAAATGAATCATAGAGTTATTGTCAAGTTAAGGCCTGGTTCACACCTGGGCGTTTTAAAGCGTGTTCCTACGCGCTGTAAAACGCTCAACATGTGAAAACCAATGATTGCCTCTGGGCATGGTTCCCACCTGGGCGTTTTACAGCGCGTAGGAACGCGCTGCAAAATGCCCTACGCCTAAAGAAGGCGTACAGGAGCTTCTTTTGGGCGTTTTTCCGCACGTTTCCATTGGTATTCCCGAGTGTGGATCGGGGTTAACAAAGCGGTAACCCCGAGCCACACTCGGGAATACAGTGTACAGGTCTTACCTTGTCCGCGATCCCCGCTGTGTCCTCCGGCGGCTGCTGACTTCTGGATTCCGTCCCTTGAGAGCGGCTGCGTCGCAGGGGGGCAAAGCCGGCGGGAAGTTCAAAATTGAAACTAAATTTTTTTTGAAAAATAGAGAAAATAAAGGCAAAAAAAAATCGTACCTCCAGTGAAACGCGCGTTTCACTGAACGGAAAAAGCGCTAAAAAAGTCCCTCAGGTGTGAACCCAGCCTGACAGATGCCTACTGACACTGCTAAATTTGTCATGGGCATTTAGGCAACACTGATCTCTGGTCACCAAAGGGTTGAGCAGTAGCTGGGGGAATTTATGAATCAAGCTGCAATCTCTTTAAAGGAAACCCATTCATATTGATCTGTGAGTGTTGTTTTTTTTTTGAATGGCATTTTTCCTGCAATTGTTGCTTGCTGCATATAGGGTGCCATTAACGATATAAGGCGCTGCAAGTGTGATGGGTTTTTAACGATTTTCGTAAAGATGCATAAAATCATGCGATTTTGCGTGCATTCACACATTACACAAGTTAATGGGGACTACATCTGTTCAATATTGCTGTAAATCAGGTTTTCTGCCCTGCCAGACAGCTGTGTGACAGGGCTGTGTAAAACTCGGGACTGGATGAACAGAAATACAAATTCTTTGGCAGGTAAAACAAGCTCACATAAGTGTATTTCATCTGTGTATTTAGCTGTTTGCCTGGAGTTCAAGTAGTATTAAAGTGACACTAAGCTCAGGAGTTAAATCTTAAAAATACATCCAAGTACCTTGACTATTAACAAAACTGTATCTTATTCGTGTATCACTCAGCTGTAGATCCTCAAATCATCTCTGAATTGGTGCTGACACTGTCCTTCCTTCTGGAGGGTGGCTACTTTTTTTTCCCATGGTCCCTGTGTGTGTTGTAAAGTAGCCACCACTTCTACAATCTCAACACAAATGAGTAAGGTCTTGTTCACACCAAATGCAGACCAGATCTGCATGAGTTTGGGTTGTGCCGCGTTTTTGACGTGTTCCGGGCCGTTTTTTTTAGTTTAAAATCGGCTTTCAGTGCGTTCCAGGGCTTTGCATGCATTTTTGATGCATTCCAGAGCAGGTAAAATAGGGCTTGCTGCAGTTTTTCCACATGCTCTGGAACTGAACGCTGCGGTGTGATCTAGAGCCCAAAATACCATTGGAATACATTGGACGCAGTTTGGATCCGGTCTGTAACTGCTCTGCTCCTGGAACGCGCTTGGTGTGAACAAGGCCTAAAGTAAACCTGAGATTGTAGCCCACGATGGGCGCGAGGTTAGAGCAACAGCATCCATTGGAAGTGGTTTAATCAGCATTTGAAAGCTTAAAAACATTTTGGCGTAATCACTTTCAGCTTTGACATGTGTGAAGAAAACCTGGCTTATGTCACAGATCTTACAGCGACATTGAAAAAGGTACTAACCTAACTGTGGCCTCAAATAAGTACTAGTGTCTTTTTCTCCTTGTGTAATGCTAGGAACCTGCAGCCCAACAGCCAGCATATCAACAACAGCAGAGTCAGTACTCACCATGCCAGTCTGAGATGAAGCAGTTCTTGGAGTGTGCTCAGAATCAGGCTGACCTGTCGCTGTGTATGGGTTTCAGCGAGGTACTCAAACAATGTCGATTCGCAAACGGTATGTTCCCTAATTTTGTTATTGATTAAGTTTATGAAAGTAATTGTAGGTTGTAGTTTTTCTGTTGCATGTGATTGAAAGTAAGCTATAGTCTTGTAAATATGTTGCATATGCATTGGAAGAAGATCTCAATGTAATAATATGTGTTAAACTTCATGAAAGTCATTACCTGTAGTTTTACATACAACTAATGCTGGCCATACATTGCTTAACTTTCAGCCAAGTCAGCAGTGTGTGGCCTTCTTCGGGCTCCCCTGTTCAACAAAAGCATTCAGTATCTTATTCAGTCTCGGTGTTTGCAGATGATACCGACTGTGTAGGACAGTAAATTCTCTAGGAGACATAAACTCAATTCAACAGGATCTAGATAAAAGGAGGCCTGGGCTGCAAAATGGCAAATGCGACTTAATATTGAAAAATGTAAGGTTATGCACATGGGAGCAAACAACATGTGTGCAAACTACTACTTAGGGGATGCTTCACTAGGGAAGTCAGACATGGAGAAGGACCTAGGAGTGCTCATAGATCACAGACTCAGCAGTAGCATGCAATGCCAAGCAGCAGCCAGCAAAGCAAACAGGACACGACCCTGCATCAAAAGAGGGATTTTGGCAAGGGATAAAAAACACAATTGTACCACTTTACAAATCACTGGTTCGGCCTCACCTTATGTTTATGTGGTTCGTTTTTGGTCACCAACCATCAGGAAAGCCGAACTTGAGAGAGTTCAGAGAAGGGCTACAAAATTAATGAAGGGGATGGAAGGCTTGAGCTATGAAGATTGCCTCAAGAAATTAAACTTGTTATCCTTAGAAAAGAGACGCTTAAGAGGGGACATAATTGTAATATTCCAAATCATTAATGGGGACCCCAGTATTAGGAATAAAATGTTTACAGCGAGAACTCTGTTAATGGCACAAGAACACAACAAGAGGTTAGAAGAGAGGGGGTTTAATCTCAGACTTCTCAACTGCTTTTTTACTATGCGAGTAGTACAAATGTGGAATTCCCTTCCACACTCAGTTGTGTCAGCTGATAGCATAGATACATTCAAGAAACTCTTAGATGAGTTTCTTGAGTCATTAAATATACAAGGATATGGGAACTACTAGACACACACCGAGCTGCATTCACTGTTTGGGCTGTCCGGCCAGGGGATTCCCCCTCCATGCTGTTAAGTGTGTATGGGGAATGAAGAAAAAAAAAGTAACCTCCTCCTAAGCAGCAGACTATGGGAGGGACAGTTGTTGTTTAGAGACAATGTTTACAGGTAGTACCAGCAGGGGGGATAACCTAAAATGTTTTGGTGGTGATGAACAATCAAGTCAGTGACTATTGCTTGACTGCAGTTGAGGAAATGGTCACTCGCTTGGCTTGTCTATGTGTATCAAAAAACTGGAGAATAGCAATTCAAACCCTTTGGACTGTGAAACAACTCATAAATACTGCACTCATTCATATATTCATATGCATTTAGCTTTTTCAGCTTTAGGCATAACAAAAAAGAAATCTTTGCACAGGTTTCCGATCGATATATTGGCTTGCAGCAGTCTGGATAACTTTATCAGAGAAAGAAATGTCCAGCAGAAACACTGGATACAAATGACTTCTTTTTATTGATAAATTGTAAACTGTGTATAATACCAGAAATGCATAAAACATCCCAAAGTGAAATGTAAAATAATTGACAACATTGTCAAACAACCACCAGACACAATCCCCTGGATTCATCAGTCACACCAGATGAGAGCGGTAATTACTGTCTGCTATATTCAGAACAAAGTGTATCAATACCGCTCTCTATGTAAGCGGGGTAACAAGGTCCTCAGCCGGTTAATACTGAGTATATTACATAGCATAGGTACTCAGGAGTGGAAACCATTTTTCATGTCCTACATTAATTAATGTCATGAGTGGTGTTTGAAAATGTCCAGCATAGATATGTCTCATAAACAGCCTCCTAATCCACAAGCACAGCTTCTTCTTAGAGAGCCAACTCCTACATATATCCAACAGAGCCACTAGCAGGGGATGTACAGACTGTTGGGAAACAGGCATTTCAATATAGCAGGGCAATGCAGGTGGAAAGCATTCACAACAATGACTACATAACACCACACTCTCAAAACACGAGAATACTCCAGCAAGTAAGAGTCATGGTCATGTCATAGTCAATTAAGAACATCTAGTGCAGCAAGGCTCCACCAGTGCTCCAGGCTGTTTTTGTGTGTTTTAAAAGGCTGGATAATTATCTGAATGACTGAGGTAGTCAGGAACCATGACATCCAGGCTGCATGAGCTGGATACCAGCAGCTTAGAGGATAAATGTTTCTTGAGCGTTTTACCCATCTAGCCCTGTGATCTGCTTTATCTAGACACAATGGGGGAAATTCATAAAAACTGGAGCAGTTGCTCATGGTCTTCTCCTCCGTTTGTTCAGTTAAGCTTTGAAAATGAAACAGAAAAGCTGATTGGTTGCCATGGACAACTGCTCCAGATTCTGTCTGCTTTTTTTTTTTACCCCTGTGCTTTTCATGGCTGAAGGGTTATGACAATATTGTAAGACTGAAAAAAGGACTGCTTTACAAAGAGGGTTCACGGGACTGAGTGCAGTGAGCACAGTAATCATTGCATCAGTGTTTGTCCATTCATGAGGTATTGTGGGCCTCAGCTGATACCCTTGACATCACCAAAGGGCTGCACATAATGCTCAGTTATGTAATGCTAGAGAGGAAATGCTACCGTTGTGGTTGGAGATTACATTTGTCTAGTAGAGATCTCTGTCACTAATCATTTACAAAATCATTGCTTGCTCTCCCACTACAGACTGCTGGTACCAACAAGTACCAAAGAGCTGCATGTGGCCTTTGGGCTGCAGGTTGGGCATTAGGAAGTTATGGAGATGGTTAAGTTTGCATTTAGTAATAGAAAATAATAGTTGATATGGTGTAGTGAAAGTATTGTGCTAATTAAGAGACTGCAAATGTTTTAATTTTACACTTCCATATTTCCTGTTTTTTCTTTTTTCCTGTAGGGTTACCATGAATGGTTTGCTTCAACATAACATCATATTCCTGGGTTGAAAGTGTTGCACTTGCAGGTCTGAAGAAACAATTACGACCCATCTGATCATTTTAGAAGATGTACTCTTCTTGTATTAGATGTTGGTAACTTCTGTTTCTGTAATTAATATTATCTTTCTGAGGAAAATAAAGGTGACATTGAAACGCACAAGTTAATGCACTGCATGCATTTGTAATCCATGACCAGTCTACATCATGAGGATGTTTAGTCTAATAGGTTCATTTTCTATTTAAATAAATGATATCCAAATACGGATTACTTTTGTTGTCCTTTTTTCATTATAGACAGGGTTTTCATTTGTTTAATAAGTCATTATTACTGAGTTTTCAGAAAGGAAATTTGTCATGGCAACGTCGTGCAGACAAAGTCAATCAACATTAGACAGCAATGAGAACAAAGTCACAATTCCATCATTTGTGAAAAAATATCCACTATTTCACATAATACAATGAGGTCCTCACGCCATTTTATGTCATAGTAAACATACATAACATTATGACCACTGACAGGTGAAGTAAATAACATTGATTATCCCATTACAATGGCACCTGGAAGTCGGTGCAATATGTTATTATTATTATACAGGATTTATATAGCGCCAACAGTTTGCGCATCGCTTTACAATATAAGGAAGACATTACAATCACAATACAATTCAAGACAATATGGTAAGCGGGGCCGTGCCAGTGAGGGCTTACAATCTAAAGGGGAGGGGCAAGTGATACATGAGGAGGTAGCTGTGCGGGGATGAATTGTGTGAGAACGTGATATTTCAGTGGTTGGGTCGAGGTGGGATAGGTTTCCTTGAAGAGATGAGTCTTAAGGGATTGCCTAAAAGCAGTGAGAATGGGAGATAGTCGGACAGGTTGGGGGTAAAGATTTCCAAAGAATGGGGGAGACTCTAGAGAAGTCCTGGAGGCGAGTATGGGATGAGTTGACAAGGGAGCTGGAAAGCAGGAGGTCTTGGGAAGAGCGGAGTGGACGGCTAGGGTGATACTTTGAGACAAGGTTGGAGATATAGCCGGGGGCAGAGTTGTGGATGGCTTTATAAGTGGTTGTTAATATTTTGAATTTTATCCTTTGGGCTTTTGGAAGCCAGTGCAGGGATTGGCAGAGGGGGGTTTCACACACTGAGCGGTTGGTTAGGTGGATACGTCTGGCAACAGCATTCAAGATAGACTGAAGGGGGGATAGTCTGTGTAGAGGTAGGCCAATGAGGAGGGAGTTATTAGGCAGGGGAGCGAAGGCTGGCCCGTGTAGTCCAATTTAATAGAAGAGCTACCATAGCTCAGATTACTGAAAAAGTGAATGCTGGTTCCGATTAGTGTCTGAACATACAGTGCATCACAGTTTGTTGCGTATGGGGCTGCGTAACACCAGGATTCACTATGGGGAAAAGGCAAGCTGGCAGAGGCAGTGTGATGCTTTGGGCAATGTTCTGCTGGAAAACCTTGGGTCCTGCCATTCATGCGAATGTTACTTTCATGGAAATGGCCTCTTTCAGCAGGATAATGTGACACTGCAAAAATGTCCTGAAATGGTTTGAGGAAAACCAACAATGGGTTCAAGGTATTGTCTTCAAATTCTACAGATCTCAATCCAATCGAGCATCTGTGGGATGTGCTGGAAAAAAGGGCTGTTGGCGGGAAAGGGGGGACCTACTCAATATTAGGCGGGTGGTAAGGTCATGGCTGATTGTTGTATAAATAGTGCTACAGAGGCAGAAAGAGATGAAAAGGAAGAAGAATGGAGTAAAAACAGTGAGGGGTACAGAAACCAGTCCCCAACCTGGAGAATGCAGATGATGAACTTTCAAATGATGGAAGTATGCAAAAAAGAAGCAGCCAGCAACTTAGGTATGCAACATTGTGTCCTGATAAAGCGCAGTATTTTTATAGGTTATCCAACCATCCCAGGTTCTACTAAAGTGGTCTTCAGTGTTAGCACTGTGTGTTGGAACTTACAGAACACAGGTTTGGTCAATTCTTTCAAACCACGATTGTAAAGGTGGAACAGTCAGTTGCTTCCAATATAATGGGACGAGTGACTTGGCAGTATTTAGTAAAGGAGGAGTAATAGAACGCTTTTAGTGACCTATTGAGAAAAGAAGACGAGTGTGCGAGTTGCAACACCGTTTGACATTGACCATCTGAGAGTGGTTTGTGTAAAGCCATTGAGAATAGAAAGCAATGTAAGGTTGGAGTGTCCAATTGAGTAAGGAAAGCATGTAACAGCAAAACACATTCCACAGGGGAAAGAAACCGTTCCACTAAAATTAAAAATTTTAATTTTGGTGCACCACTACTGAAATTAAGTTTGCTATTGCGTTGCAGTTTGGGCACTGGAGTTTAAAAAACGTTCAGCAACACTGCCTTATGCAAAATAGGGAAACATACATATCCAAACATTTATACACCCAATAAAACACACGTAATGAAACACATGCATTAAAACACATATATCACACATGCATTAAACACACACATTAAAACACATACAGTATATCACACACACATTTAAAAAAACATCACATATTTAATGAAACACAAACATATCTCACACACATTAAAACACACATCAAACATTAAAATAACACACATCACACACTTATTAAAAACACATCTTCATTAAACACACATCACACACACACATTAAAACCACTCAATAGCAGCGAATCATATCAGATAATCCCCTCCACGGCCCCTTACCGCCTATGATATGACCAAATTTACACGATAGCAGCTGAGATGGGTTTGGATGCTACTCCCTATGAACCAATCCTATGCCTTTCCATAAATGTGATACGTTTTATGTTTTATCTGTCTAGTTGTATATGGATGTCCTGCTAACCACAGGCATCAGTTTGCATTATAACAAATCTATGTGTACTTGCGCTGTTAAACTCAATAAAAACTTTTATTGGAAAAAAACACTCAATAAAACACACACATCAGACAGACAGACACACACACACACACACTAACAATAAAAATGAATAATTACAAAATTGCCCGCTTACCTGTTTTGCAGGGAGGGGGGCTGCATCCCTGGGGTCCTGTGGGGTGCTTTGGGATTATCCCAGTGGTCCAGTGGAGGAAGTGTAATATGCATCTCTGGCTGATGCAGACCATACTAATCACTCCTTCCTGTGAGCAGCGGCACCACGAGGGATCGATTAGTATGGTCTGCATCAGCAAGAGATGCAGATCATACTGATCCTCCACTGGACGATTTTCTGATGGGCTACAGTCACTGGTTGACAATTTTTCAAAACCACTCCAACAAAATTCAGTTGAAAAATTAACTTTTGTTGAATGGAAAGGTGCTGACGAGGCCACACACTGCTCGAATTTCAGCCAAGTCCTGCTAACTCAGGAGGTAGCTCAGGTAGCTTTATGGGGAGCGGGGCGAGCGAGGACGTTTAAAAACGTCCACCAGCATGCAGGAAGCCACAGTCCGGCCGTTTAGTTACAATGGCCGGACATAAGGTGGTTAAAAATAAACATTCTGCTCCTGGCACCTGGATGGGCTTTTGCTGTAGAGGCCAGAACACAGTTTAGCTATTTTAAAGGCCTCATAGGTTTTTTTTTTTTAAAGTGAAGGAACTGAAGGCATTTTCAGCCACATTTGTAAAAGGTTATATGTGGTCTCTTGACCTAGACTGAATTTGCCCTAAAGCTAGTCTGGCCAATTTCACATTCATCTTTTTTCCTATATTTCATTTAAGGCTAATTGCCCTAGCAGAATATGTTTTGTTGACATTGGCTATGCCATTTGATCAAGACTTTCACTAAACTAGATGTCATCATCCATGGTTATTTTGCCAATACATATTAACAGTTCCCTAAAACACTAATGGATATCTTTCACCAGCAGGTGGTGCTATTAAATAGCTTTTCTAAACCCTATGGTCATGCCTTCAAATAAGATTGGGGCCCTGTAATCCAAACACCAGTGATTCTGGTCACAGAGAACTGTGTAGGCACTACAGTCAGGAAGAGGGGATTATCAACTCCCCCTCATGTTAGTACTTAGACAAGGACAGATACAGGGGTGCCTTTGCACAAGATACAAAAGAGAGTTCCACTTAAAGTAAACTATGGAGTTAGGTCCATTTCAATATATAAAACAAGCCGAAAAGATGCAGCTTTAGAAGTCCAGTGGTACTCCAGTTTACAAGATATAACATGTTGGTTTCAGATCACTTACTAGATCCACTTTAGCGGGTTTCATTCAGTTTTACTAAAGATTATAAAGTTATAAACAATCCAAAAATAAATCAAACCAATAAAATACACAGTTTTTCAAGCCATGTCCCCTTGAAGAAGCTTTAATGTTGACAATTCTTGATAAAATCACCTTGTTTATATAAATTGCTACATATTCCCCATGAAACAGCAATCCCACCCTTTCCTTGCACGGGACCAGATACCTGGAATACAAACAATCCACACATAAATCGTATATACAGTGTTGAATAAAATGGTTTTGTATCCCAAATGGGACCCTCGTGCACAATTTTAAGCCTGATATGCTTGGTCTCTATTTACCTGAGGCAACCCCTTTTTTAATACAGTTGACCAATAAATTGGGTATTGTATTGTGAACATTAAAATTCATTTACCGTAAGTGTATTTTGTCCTAAAAATATCTATTGAATTTCAGTTGAATTCCATCTGTTCCTTGTCTCTGTTTCTGTATAACCTGGATGTTCTTACTTATGGATATTCTCATCTTCTGATTAAGGAATAATGTGTATGAATAATGTTTCACCATCTGCTATACAGTGGAACTCACCAGAATTCTAGACGTTTTGGTCACAGCAGATTCTCTCATCCTTTTGCCTTTACATACAATTTGAATGCGTTCCTCTCCTTTTCATTGCCTTTGTACTAGTGGATGCATCCAATAGGTCCTATAATACAACTTTGGTTGCCAAAAGGTTAAACTCCACATTGTAGGGGTATTTATATGTGAAGGCTATGCATTTGATCACACAATCTCATCTGAAGAGGAGGCTCTCCCAACATGAACTCTGT